CTAACGAATATCCCCATTTTATAGTTTGAAAAACTGATACCCATAGAGGTTAACCAACATGTCCACTTTCTACACTTAGTTTAGAATTGAGTTTAGAACTCAATGATTCCTGGGTCCCAGTTTCTGGACAGGAAACATAAGAAGAGCTTTGACATCCATTTGGGTTCTTTGTGACATTTGGTGTTTGCTAATTTGCATTTCAGTATCTGATGAGGAGAGCAAAATATATATTTGGCAAGTGCTTTGCATAATTTCTATTACTCTGAATGCCATAGGAGTCACCATCATCATCAAGAAAAGCAAAGGGAATAAGTAAGTTGAATTGTCTTACAGAATTCTATTAAACTCCTTTTTCCTGCTCCATAGCTTAACACCATGTTACAACGTTAAGTTTCCACATAACATTTACACTTACAAACTTCAGTGCACACATACAAACAATTCCTTTCCTCTCTGATCTTCTTTCAGAGATGATGTTCTCAATCTATAATGTAGCACCTGTCACCTGAATGTCTTCAGATCTTGAAAACAAACCTTGGTGTCTGTCCCAGATTTTTATAGGTATTTACATGTTATTACACATAGTATTGCAGGCCTAACCGATTTTTGAGCTTGTCTCATTTTGAAAAACGATTTAGGCATTTAGAAGCAAATATCCCATTAACAGTCAATGGGTTTAGGCTTCTCGGTGCCTTTTTAATGAGACTTAGGCCAGGTCTGCACAACAGACCTATACCCATACCCGTGAGCAACCAGGATGTCAACATAAGCATTAGTCACCTCAGGACCTTTCTTTTGTGATCTGTCTCCCCTCTCAGTGTCTTAGCTGATTATAGTCATTCTCACTTGTCTCCTCTTATCTAAATAGACATTAAATTATTTTGGTGCAGGGACCATATTTCTGTAAAATGTCTAGCACACTGTTGGGCATTGTATAAATATTGAATATTTATATCACAGACCGAGTAGCAGCATACCCTGCACTCCTGCGGAGAAAAAGAATTTGAACCAAGGTGACGGAGACAGATACCAGCACCAGCCAACACCTAAGAGCCAGCAGAGTGTTTCCTATCAAAATGAGGTAACAGAAAATCATATATAGGCAATTCGCATTCATATCTTATATGAGGCAAGCAACCTAGCAATGCCTAATGCTAGGGAGTTGAGGTCTGCCACACCGTGCTTAACTTGTGCCAGGGCTGAACATGGGCACCTCTAGTTCACAGCCCCGGTACCTCTGAGGTTGCAATGTCAGTTATGAAACTTAAAAAAATTGCTTTCCTTACAAATTAAGCACTGCTGACACAGCTACAATACAGACATTGGATGTCCACCTTAAGAGAGACACTTAAACATTACATTGACTTTCTTTTGTAGGCTAATTGACTTCCTTATCTGTCCAGATAGACACTAAAGACTTTGAAAGTGAAAAGAAAAACAAAACAAAAATAAGGTACAGCTTTTGTGCAGGACTCTGGCAAGAGATTTGGAGGATCTGAATATTGGTGCTCCAAGAAGCTCTGACCTGATGTTCAGCTCTCCCTCCTATTCCTCTGTGCTTCCTTAAGCATCAGCCCTCTCCAGCTCAGTTGAGTGAAGGGAGAATCAAAGCTCATGCAACGTCTCAGGTGACATCACCATTCAGGCCCCCCAAAGAACTCACTGATGACCTG